ATCTCATTCGTGATATGTTTTCTTCCCTCTTCTCGGCTTTTTCCTTGATTGATTAGTGTAAGGAAAATTTCTTCTTTAGTCACTACTGAAAGTAAAATTGGTTAGAAATACGGTATCCTTTTTCAAAATTTTACCAGGTCACTGTTTGCGGTGATTCCTAGATATAATGCGGGCGAAAAGCCAGGAAGAGCCAAAAAATAAAACCTTGAAACAAGTGATCAAAGTACGGCAAATGTTGAGAAAGCTGTGTTTACAACGAAGCACCACCACGTGAAAATCACGCGCCCATGATACGACACGTTGTTGGTGAAGATTCTTGCTACGGTTTCCTTATCTCACTACGCACCAAGTAAATAATTCAATTGCTCACTCATTGCCTGGTTACTTGAGTAGCGCTGGAAAAGCCCCTTTGTTGTTCTGTGATGACAGGTTACTGGTCATTGTAAGGAGATGGTTGTTGTTTTTTCTCTAAATTTTGTCAAATTAGACTATAAATTGTGCTTGAGAAGCGCTTACGATCAACAAACATGTTTGTTCATTCATTCATATTCTGGTTCGGGAGGCTGTTTATGACCATATGATAAAGAAAGTTTAAGTCCGGAGCACATCTGTCAAAGTGTATTGATTCTAATTTCTTTGAAAGAAGAGAAGAATAGAAGAAAGGAAAAGGAAAAAAAAAGTATTTTTTAATTCAAGGCTTTAAAGGCTATGGGCTTTTCATCTCGCAGTCGCTGAAAACAATGAATCGTTAAAAGAACACCACCAAATAAAGAAGGGCACAATGAAACAATGCCTCGTTCTGCAGTCCTTCCCGCTGCGTAAGGGTTTGAGGGAAAACCCCCTCCCACGGGGGGTGGGGAGGAAAGCTTAATTATAACTTCAAGTTAAAGTACATGCTGTATTATCCCTAATAACAACTTGGTTTTATTAACATCATAAAAAAAAAGTAAGATGAGTTCGCTGTTAAGGATGGTAATTATTAACAAAACAACGTGTTTGAGTAATTTTGACCAGCTTGAGGTAAGAATCTCGAATAGCTTAATTCAGGGTTGTCGATCAGTGTTTATTACCGTGGATTATTGCTTATTGTATTTCATAGTTTTTTAGTCGGTGTTACTTTACGCGATCGTTCTTAGTTCCACAGAACTCAGAAATTAAGAATTATTTCCCTTTCCAACCCCTCACGTTCATTTAAAGCTGGTTGGCGAGGTTTGATGTCTTTGATGGCTGGAAAAATCTCTCTCCAATTCTGAGGTAACAAAGCTGAACCTGTGCACTAGAAATAAACGCTTATTCAAAGTCTATCAGCAAAAACCTACAATGTGGAGTAAATGAATCATATTTTTTATAAAATCAGACTTATAGAGTATCTTGCCATCCCTTTTCGTAATTTTCTGCTGTATGTAGCTCATACTTCTTTGTCCACAGTAGTTTATTAGAGTCCAGCTAGCTTCAAAGTGTCCGTTGTTCGTTGTACAAGGGTGTCTCTCGGGGAAGCTAGCGGAGTCAGTACCTGTTAAGTTACAGGCAACTCTATTCATTACAGACATTGCATAATCTACGTCAAATCTTTCAAGATATAACCTTACCGCCTTAAAGGACCGAGCTGACGAGAAAATCAAACAAAAACCCTCACCCCTACATAAAATTTCCGCGACATATAAATTTGCCATGATAATGGAAAAAATACTGAAATTAAGTCACGCGATCAAAGGACCATTTACAAGTTAGGGTATTGACGCTGCCAAACAACACAAATTCTAGCCCAAATAGACTACGTCTAGATATGAAGAAAACGTTAGTCAGCAAAAGATCATGGATGTTTTTAAATCGTGAATCTCTTCCTAGACGAATAATCCGGATCAAAAGGGCCCACATGTAATTCTAGCCCACATAGACTACGTCTAGTTATGAAGAAAACGTTAGTCAGCAAAAGATCATCGATGTTTTTAAGTCGTCTAGGAAGTGAATCTCTTCCTAGACGAATAATCCGGATCAAACATATAATTCTTCCTTGGACTTCTTATCTCGTTACGAGAGACAGTGGAGACCGCTAATCAGGTCTGTTGGGGAAGTAAGCACTGGCACACTTAAAGCCGATTAAAATCTGACTCTCACATCGGATCAAATGGAAGTTCTCCTAACAATTTTAATACACTCTAAAGCAGACAGGTGGTGAGAAATTAAGAAAATTATCAATCGGTAATTTGGTGATACAGCACCAAATTCTTCAGGACCAGCTGACAAAGAAACGTATAGCTGCTGATTGGGAGAATTAACTTTGAGATCTGGGAAGTAAATAAATCAAAAGGGGTAAGCTCGATGATATTTGAGTCGTCTCCTTATTTGCGACATGATAACTGATTTAGGGTAAAATATCAAAGAACGTTTTTTTTAAATCATTGAGACGAGAATATATGAAGAAGGTATACAACTAGTCCCTGACTGAGGGAGGAAAAAAAATGGAGAGAAAGAACACGGATGACAAACTTAAATGAACTAGAATATACAGAAACCGCTAGGGATATTTAAACCTTTAACTCTCAGGATCTCATTGGTAATTCTCCTTAATGTCTGCCGTATAGTTCTAATGATGTTAGTTTGGAGAATTTGGTATTGGATCAACTAATAATCCCCTAATAAATATTTTTCTTTATTCTCATCACTTGTCTGCTTGATATTGTATTGATATTACAACGAGAATTTCTCTCTTGGTCACTCATGGGAGTTAAAGGGTTAAAAGTTACTGAGACTTTTAGAAAATGATTAATGTTTTTACTTTGTCGGGAATTGTGGTGCATCGCGTGGTCTAAAATGGAGATTTTTGCGGGCTTAATTGCATTTAAGCCCTCTCGCAAGCTCGCGTGATTGTTCAAACTGTTTTGTTGTCATTTAATCAATTTATACTTTCTCAATGCCCTTCGAAGTGATAATAATATAAAAAAACATAAATATGTTTTTGACCCTTCGTAATATCATTTAAATCCTCGCCTAACGGCTTGGGCTAAAATGACTACGAAACGGATCCAAAATGTATTAATGCCGGCTTAGGCTGTATTGTTTTATTAAAAAGGAAAGTTTAGAGATAGTTTCACTTTTTGGGGCGGTGCTGTGTTGTCAGTTCTACATCTCACGACCTGGCGACTCAAACCTCATCACAAGAGATCATAAACTCTTGCCACATCTTTATCATCACCAGTAATTCAAAGTCGGTAAGAGCAGGTTTGAAAACATACCATCCACATACACAAATCTAAAAGTAAAGTTTCAAACCATGTCTAACCATAAAATATTCAATAGAACAAAAAATTTGTAACTTTTACGACTTTTGCATATACCTTATTCGATCATTTGACATTTAATATGGCCGGATAATTTGCGAGTTGCGCAATATTTTTTCGAACCCCCGTAGGGGCGAGGGAAATTACTAGCAAATGAGCAAAATTTCCGCTAGTATTATAAGTTAAAACATTGCATAAGGAATTTATTATTCCATGATTACATCATTTTCCAGTTTTCTAGTTTTCGAAATAAATCCTACGGTTTATTTGAGAATATTGATAATCAATCGCATCCTGCCTGCGTGAAAGACGAGAACAAGACTAGCAAAACCATTGAAGAATTTCCTTCGACTGACAAAAAAAAAAAAATCTGCCGAGCTTAAAAGTCAGTTGCTCTAAAAGTCAAACCTTATCCAAAGTCTGGATAGTTTAGTGGGGCAATTTTAATCAGTGCTTCTCCCTCCGTCCGTATTCTTCGCCTGTTCTGAAGCGTAACACCGTGACATATTTTGCGCTTTCCGTTGCCCTAACATGGTAAAGTGGCCTAATTAGGGAAAGTAGACTTAAATAATTTGGCAAGAGACATACTGTCGGGAAAATTAGAGAAGGTGTGATTTAATTTCTAATTATCTTATCTTTTTTTTTTTTTTTTTCAATTTTTTTTTTACTTGATAGATTGAGCCAAAGACTGTTCCGGCTCCTTGTAAAGTTGTAAAGGATAAATTTGAGAGATCGTTTATCACGTATACACGAAGTCCTTAGGAAAGTTTAAACATTAATAGAGGAAGAGCTAACAGGATATTTTTGTTTGTTTTTTAAGGCTTCTTTTGCTCTCTGATCCCATCGTACTTGATTACTGGCTGAGCGCGCGAACGCTTGAGACCAGTCAACTCGAGGGAAATTACCATAACGAGGAAAAACTCAGTTCAGTTTTTTCTGGCTTTAACTCTGTTCAGCCTTAGAGCATGTGTAAGTTACAGTCATAGCACATATCTCACAGACCCCTTTTTGCTAGTTTTGATCTGTATTTGAGTTTGCCACTGATCACATGATCACTTTGCAACAATGATACTTATCCTGTATTAGAAAGATTACACCACCTGAATGTCAGTGAAAGTACTTTTACTTTTTTTTTGTGTCTGTTCAGTCTGAGAGGCATTCATGAAATCACAGTCTAGCGAGTTGAAGGAAACTTAATTGCTTTGTTTGTTTATTTATTGCTTAACGGGAACTCTGAAGAAGTTTTTAATATCAGATTGAAGCTTTTTGCATCTAGAAAAGTCAGCGTGGGCGGCCGATTTTCTCACGCCTTCCACGAAAAAGCAACATTTTGAGTTTGGGCTAATTACTGTGTCTCAGACGGATTTCCTCTGTAATTCACAACCTTAAGTGCTAACGAGATAATTTGATAAGGACGTGAGAGTATGACAAAACTTAAAAGCGGCTGCATTCTGATGCCGATAAAAAATACCCGGAAAGTCCGAGAAAGCACCAAGCTCTTGCACATAGAAACTCCATAAGATAGATTTTACACGTCTAAGCAAAACATGAACGACAGAGCTCACTCAGTTCTAATTTCACGTACGATATTTTGTTGCTTCAATTCATGGAACAAAGAATTGCTTTCAAAAAAGGGTACCATCGGCAACAGCTGCAAATATGCTAACTTCGTCAAACACACAACTGCATAGGCATGCAGACAAAAAAAAAAAGTGAATTCGTGCCATTTGCCTCTTGCATGAATAGTGGTTCTTTAATCTGGTCACATTCATACAGCTGCCATCGAGCTGTCTAGATGTCGCTTTCCTTATTTTCTCCAAGAATGGAGAATTAGAACTCCTTTTTCTATTTTCCATTTTGTCTGAAGTCTGTCTGCGAAAACCTTTTGCGTGACTGCAGTACATTCAGACAAAACCCCCTCTGTGCTGCTTAATGAGCAATGTACAAGAATAGACAGCTTTTCTAGTTTCGCAGCTAAACGACATTTATCTCTCTGCAAATGAAGTTTCAGGTTTATATGTTTCATTCAAGTCCTGCAAACTGAATCAAAGCCAGTAATCCCGCTATCATTGTTACATTAACACCATTTTCCCATTAAAATTGATATTCTTGTGTTATGCAGGATGTGTTTCACCAGAGTGTATTTGAGACAGAAAGCTTCAGTTGTAACCAGTTTTGATTATCGACGGGTTAAAAGAAGAAGGAAATTCTCTACGACTACTGAATAAACGTCAGTTGTTGTAGATGCGAGAATAAGCTGGGAAAGCAACAAAACACTGATAAGAGTAAACCGAACACGTTTATGTTAGGTTTCCTCTTTAAAACCTTGGTTCTCGTTGGGTGCTCAACACTACAAACATGTAATGATGAACTTTTGAATAATCTCTCTTCCTTCCACTTCCGTGTTAAGTTGTATTCGTCGCTGCGTTGAAATGGAATAATAAAGGATTTGTGTTAACCGTTGACCTTGAAAAACAAGGAATACTTTGTTTTAGTGAAAGGCAATCTGTTTTCAACCGAAGCTTGCACGCAAGGTGCAGATTATCCACTGCATAATGAAGCTCCGCTATACGTCAGACAAACTTAACCAAGACAACGCCGAATCGCTTTGAGATCCAAATCATTTGGGAAATATGAGAAGCAATTAATACAAGAGGATATTCTTCTATCTGTAAAGAGAAATAAGCTAACATGTTGATCATATAATTATTGAAAATTGAAGTCAAGACAAACGATGTAACTGCCGAAGCTATGTGAGTGACTTGTGCAATTGGAATTTGATTGCATGACTTCTCGCAAATGACACTCAACTAAGCCTCCGAAGATAATTGAATTTCATTAATTGATATATTTTTAATCCCTCTGGAAACCACTCGATAAACGGGTTCAAAGGGTAAGGAAACTCGTTGGCGGCCTTGAATGTAGATGTAAACATCCTGTTTAAGGGAAGTGATGTTCTCCTATTTCACACCACCGTTTAGCAGTTTTGGGCCGTGAAGGCTTCGATTTTAAGATTATAGAACTGAAGCATCTCATCCGTAGCCCCACGAACGAAGGGCATATCACGACGTGCCTATCACAATGAGCAAGCATTCCTAAGTGCTTTGAGCCTGATATAGATAAATGACAGTATTGATAAATTACGATATGTGAGGTCGGCTAAAACCACAAACAACCATGATGGCTGACCCCACTGAAAGGAAAGTAGAGGGATCTTCTTAGTCCTGACGATAAGCAGCTGATCATGTTGCCATTCGTTGAGAGGACTGCTTTTAATTTTTCGTTTTACAAACATAGTAACGTCTCAAACCGCAGGATACATCATTCCACCGTCCAGATTGTATCAGCGCGCAGTTTTCTCTGACGTCGCCATTGGGATTGTTTCCAGACCAGTTTTCATACTCGCCCCAGTTTTTCCTGTCCACCCAGACCCAGTTCCCCTCCGTACCCATGTCGTTTGCTCCAATCCATGCAGTGGTTTCTGCATCGGGAAGCAGGGAGGATATGAAATCATTTTCATTGGCGGAATGAATTGGAACTAAAATGGATCCAATGTCTGCGCAACGCTTCTTCGCCTCTTTCCACTTAGCCACTTCGCTAAAAAACTTATAGCAAGATATGCTGAACCGTCTCCATCCATTTGTCGTGTCACATTCTGCAATTCGATTTAAGTATGAAAAAACACTAAGTCGAAGAGTCAGGGATTGTTTCGACTGACAAGTTAACTAACACACAACTATCGGGAGTGGGGGTGGGGGTGGATAGAAACCCCTCCCCCTTACTTCCATCGCGTAACAGTAATTTAAGTGTTTATTATAATTATTGCATTTTGCTTCTTCCATTTTGTAAGTTTTGTACAATACAGTTGCGTGTAAATTCAAAAGACTGCTGGCGAAGAAAAATAGAATCAGTGAAAGACATGTATATGTATTTGAAAGCCTGTATTTGAAGGTTAACCCTAGAAAGGATGTATTTATCCAAGCTGGGCGAGATTTAAAAAAAGAAAACACAACCCTCATTTTCTTTAGAGAGCACCTCCCTTTTCTCATAAGGCCCTTCTCCCATACTTCCCTTCTTTCCCCTTTTGCAAGCCCCTTCTCCCCCCCCCCCCCCCCCCCACGCTAATCTCCTCCTCTTCGAGGTGGAGGTGGTCACAACGTTTTTAAGCGAAATCTAGAAGATGGAAATACCTTGGCAGTAATCACCCGAAAAACCGACTCGCCGACATCGGCATTTGTAGCTTCCGTCGTTGTAGTTTGGAACGCACGTTTGCAGACCGATACAGGGGTCCTCTATGCATGGCGTCTGAGAGAAAAAGAATGGAAAGATGGCAGTCTATTAAGAATCCCTTGCATTAGCTCTCCACTTGCTTAAGACAATAAAAGTGACACGGAAATTTCCAAGTGATAAAAAAAAACCTTGGGAAGAAAAGTGAGGAGGGGAGGCAGATTCTGAAGTTCATTTTAAGAAACGAACTTGTTTTAGTTTTTCCTCAATAAGATAAAATTCAACTTCAAATCTATATTTTTAGTATACATCTTACACCATTGGATCGTTTTCCTCAGTCATAAGCACCTCTTACAGGTTTCACTGAGGGAATCATTACAGCATTCAATTTCATGTCCAACTCTACAGATGTGAGTGTGTTTTTATATTATTGTCATTATTATTGTTATCATTATTTTGATTGATTCAAATCCATCTGCTTAATGGGAACATTGGGGCCCAAACTTGACCTGCTCCAACTGCAAGTATTCTTGGTTTAAATTCCAATTTAATCTCTGAATTTTTGTTTGTTCTTTGTTTTTTCGGAACTCCTTCCCTGAAGCTAATAACATTTCGGCAAGGGACATTTCACTCTGCAATTTTGTTTCCATGGTTCAAATAATTAATTCACTGCGATAATTGAACAAATACAATGATAAATCTTAATTACATATGGACAGTGCACATCGGGAGGTAGTTATATTGCCAAAAATATTCGTGTGGAAAATCTATCTTTACCTTAACCAGTAAGTTCCAATTTTGCACGCGTAGATATTTTGCATGTTTTCCACCTCAGACTTAACTAATTTGCTTTGTAAAGGGTAAGTTTGTAGAGAAACTGTGCTACTGCGTCGTTGGGGAGGTATAACAAGATAATTTGTTTTTTTTAACTGAGTTGATAATGTAAATTGGTCACCGTGAAGAGTTTAAAAGCTGGCGTTTCGATCGTTAGCCCTTCGTCAATCGCTTTGACGAAGGGTAACGATCGAAACGTCTGCCTAGAAACTCTTCACGTTAGCCAATTGATGTTATCAACTCAGTTGATTAAACCAAAGTATCTAATTTGTTTTGTAACTGCACTGTTCATTCTCCGCTCCCTCGAGCCACAGGCCTCCCATCGCTGACTTACTTTGTGCTCTAGACGATCTCAAATTATTTTTCACTTGATTAAAATTGATATTTTTTTTGGTTGAGTCTGAATAAAAGAAGCCAAGCTTTCTTACCGTTCGTTTTCTTAGAAAATCTTTCAGCGGAGGAAAATGTAAAATATTCGTTTTGAACCTGACCTTTTCAATACCACCCTACACTTACCATAATGGAAAAATGATGCGAATTTGGGCTTGGTTTAAAACTTTCTGAAGACATGTATTTGTCAGAAGCAAGTATTTCGCACCAGTACACTCCATTGTCGTCAGAAGAACTTGCCATATTCACAGAAAGGCAAGTCGAGGTTCGTACACACTGAATGCCACACTCGTCGAAACTTCTCACAGCTAATTTGTTGGATATTTTCGTCGCATTTAAGTAGTTGAAACTGTGCTTGACAAAATTGATGAATCGGTGCGTAGAGTGACAACTAGAAGAAAGACTTTGTCCGTCTCCATGTAAAATATGGTAAAGTATAAAGCACTTTAAAACCAACAAGTTAAAAGTGCTGAACATCATCGCTTGAGTACATCAAATCTATGCACAAAGTAAACATGAGGCAACTTTTAAATCTTCGGTGCTTAATTTACCGCAGCAAAAGAGATTATGGTTAGACGGAGAAGATCACTACAGAAACCGCATGTTTTTTTTCCTCACATCTGGAAAACCGAAGTGGAAATAAGAAATAATTGATCGAGTTTTTTCACTTCAAAAACAATTAGAACCCGAACCCGTTTATTATGGAACCTTCTATAAATGCCCTCTGGGAGCCAGTTGCTAACTTGTATGTAACCTGTTTAGAGAAAAATTCTGCATGTTGAAGTAATAGCCGGCGGAACGGGAGGACTACAGCCTTTACAGGATATGGTTAGGGTAGCGAAGTAGAAACTTTATGGTACGTAGTATAAGTATAATGGCATCTTTGTAAGTAGTTTCACAAGGATCTTCAGCTGCTCCCGTGCCAGATGACTAAATCTGAGGATTTCATTGAAAGGGCTGGATTATGATATCCATTCAGATTGTGAAAACACGATAACGCCTGCCACAATTAGCAGGTAGAGGAATGAAAAGTGTTAAAACATGTTAACATGACAAACATTGTTCTTCACAGCTATTTTTTAATGCAAACTGACTCATCCTTTGGACGTAAATAATTAAACTAATAAGCAACTTGTTTGCCTCTCACCAGGTGGGATTTTTAATTATTAAGGTCCTTTTATTTCTCCGATTGCACGCAGATAAATCCCTCTACTTTAAACATATAAAGAGCGTTGAGAGTAGCCCGCGGAGCAGGCGCAATTTTGGCGAGCGAGTGCTGAGCATTTTCCGGGTGAATATCACAGCTGCCATCTTTGATTTAAACAGTAGCGGAAAGCTGGGTAGAGAAAGAAAATTGGACCCAAAAGGTGAGCGACGGTCATAAGGAGGAAAACGGGAGGGGTGGGTCCTCTCGCCTTTCCCCGCCCCCTCCCCCTCCCCCTCCCACCACCGTTCACCCTAACTCTAAATCAAAGATGGTCAGTCAAAAAAGCGATTGCGAGCTTGTAACGTCAACTCGCTCTAGTAAGACGTCTGCACCACAGATTAGCTTCGAAAGAACATGAGAAACTCGCCATTTTGTAATTGTGTTCAGAGAGTGTCACGGCTGGTCATTGTTCGAAAACTTCCAAAACGATCCAGCCATGCTTTTTCAACCGGTCAAACCTGTTTTGAAGCTGTTTGAAAAAGTTTAGAAACCAAATAACTTAAAGATGGTTTTCTCGCAAAGAAACACGAAAAACCAAACAGACATGTTCAACCTAAAACTGCTGAACCAATTACCACACGACTTGACGTTCTCTTCTTCCTTTGTTATCAAGCGCTTACAGTTTCTTCAGTTAGTTAATGTATTCATAGCCAGTTGAACAAAGTTATGAGCATTCGTGAAGTTCTCACAAATCAGTCAACATGGCTACCATTTCTATATCCTCGGGTGTCAAACCCTTCCCTCTGTTTGATTGGTTTTGACTGTGGTCACGTAAATGCTTTGACCGATGAGAAAGCAGGATTTCACCCATGTGACCAATGTGTTATATGTTAACCCATTAAAAACTGGTATTCACAAAAGGATAGACAATGGTTGGTATCCCTAAAGTGACATGCCACGTGGTTATGGACCAATGAGAAGTCGGGGGATAGGGCATCCCTCACAGCAACATTATTACATATTGTTGCTAAGGACATTTTTACAGTCAAACACGCTTTCAAAGTTGATTAAGACTAAAAATCAACGATAACAGTTAATCAAGACTAAAAATCAACGTCAATGGTATTACATCTCTTTTTAACAAATTGTTTTAGCTTACACTTACTGGTGTAGGGTTGGCAAATACTCTGGCCCCAGTTGTTTTTATTTTTATATTGAAGAAATGTAAAATGGTTTCCGTGTTTACATAGCCTGATGTAAACACGCGGGAGGTTGGGAGAACACGAGATAAGCGTAGGAAACCACGACGCGAAGTGGAGTGGTTTCCAGTTTATCGAGTGTTCTCCCAACCTCCCAAGTGTTTACATCAGGCTATGTAAACACGGAAACCATTTTACATTTCTTTTATAAAATAACTAATGAAAGAGGAACGAAAACCGTGTTTACATACGCTCATGTAAAATGGTTTTATCGCCAATCAGAGCGCGCGTACTATTTGAATTATTTTATAATTCTTTACCACGTACTAAAAGTTTACTTCTTAACATTCTCAACAAGAGAGATGAAAACGTTAGGGTTACCTAAAATCGTGGACTAGCGTTAATCAATGCTCGTTTATACAATTATATACGAACAGGTATGATTGATACTATTTAGCATCGAAATTCTCTGAATGCAGTACAAGTTACAACCCAAAGGGCAAACGATCTTCTTTGTAGTACTTGTCGTGGTAAACCTTGGATAGGTTTCTATTTGATCCTACAACATATTTTTCTAAGAATACCCTGTGGTAGGAATAGGCGTGACGTACGGTATTCCTAAATACTCTGTGTTGTTCATCCATACCATGTTTGTACCACTGGGCACCTCGCATCCCCACTAGAAGAAAGCATCGGTTTCCTGGACATTTAAAATAAATCCTGCCAGGATTGTGTTCCGATCTCCATTCGCACAACACTAACGGTTCTGAACAAAAGCATTTGAGTTTCTCCTTATCCCATTTGTACCCGGCCTGGGTTTGATCCTGGACATTCTTCAGATAGTGATGAATTTTACTGAGTCCCATGAAGATGAAACAATCGGACATAGGACACTTCACATAGTCCCAACCACTTTGGGAAGTACATTTCTCGAGCTTGCAATCGTGGATAAAACATTCCAAGGGCTCCTGTTTTTTTCAAAGCTCCAAGAGTTTCAATGGTTGGTAATTTTTGTTTTTGTTGTCAGTAGTTATCCTTCCTCTATCACTTCAAAACCCAGATCTCTTAATAAATCATTGGTATCGATATCTTACAGCGGAATGTATTCTTCTGAAAATTTAACATCACAAAAATGTCACAATCAGTTCACACGGTTCTGTGTTTTTCTCACGGGTAGATACCTTTCTTTGTTTGGGTATAAGTTCTTTTTGATATTTCTGTCGTCTGCGTAATTTTTGAAGACGACGTTTTAGGTAAAACGGTGAACCTCTTCCATCCACACTTTCCACTATCGCCTCTCTTGTCCTCTTCTTTTTCAATGTTCCTCTTTTTATAGGATTAACATATTTCCACGGTCTCCTTGAATACGACTTTCTATTTGGCAGATATCAACCATTCAGTAATTTTATCTTGTGCCTCACCTTCATTCTTCTTTGCTGTCCGCTTGCTTTTCTTGTTGGCGCGCTCCTTCTCCATGGCCTTTTCATGTTTCCTCTTCCCGCTCTTTTTACATGTCGTAGGATATTTGGCGGGTGGATAAGTGTTCAAGTCGTAATCAACCATAGTTCCCGTCATTTCTTCGTTCGTAATGACTTCTTGCACTTGCAGAACCTCCATCTTCTTGATATCTCCTCCTCGCCTCGGTCAGCAACGAGTGACAAGGGATACAAGTGAGCTAGTTTATGGTGTAAGAGAACCAATCACGGTTAAGGAAGAGAACGCCGTCAAACCGGTTTGTGACTAGTTTGATAATGAAACAGCGAAACAAAAAAATCTGACCAAACAGCCTTTCATGACCAAATAAGGTGAGCGTATCCTTAATCCAACGTCGTCAAATGAGTCCAACCCATGCCCTCAGACCGGTTTATGACTAGTTTGTTGATGTAAAATGGTATTACCATATACGCGAGTCAGGGGCACGAGAGAGTTCAGTTGAATTTTGACAGGTGTAGATGGAGTTGGAAACGAGAGAACATTTATATGAACATGAGAAAATCGCACACAAGCAACAACAACAAAAAAATCATCACACCGAGTTGTCTCAACGAACACCAACAAGACAGAATAGAAAGACACACAAGTGGAACAACTGAGACAGTAGCTTGGAAAGTTAACTATTCAATGATCGGACTTCAGCTCACGACCCAAATTGTAAAACCAGGAACTTTTGGGATTATACAGTTGTAAAAATGACTTTGGGTGACACTCGTGCGTGATGTTTTCCTTACCGTGACACCTATCAGAAGCGTTGCGTGATTTTGCAACGTTAACAAAGTTTCAAGTCGACCAATTTTTGGTCACATGGGTGAAATCTTGCTTTCTCATCGGTCAAAGCATTAACGTGACCACAGTCACAACCAATCAAACAGAGGGAAAGGGGGGTATCCCCTTTGGCTACGAACGTTTGACACCCGAAGATATAGAAATGGTAGCCATGTTGAATGATTTGTCAAAACTTCACGAATATTATTTTTTTTCTCTGTTAATGATGTGCTGGGCGCAGTCCATTAGGGAAAACTACACGTCCCGCTTGTGATTAAAGGATTCTTTTTTTAACATTAAACCCGTTTGAGTAAAAAAAAAACTTGTTGTTTTGTTTTCCTTCTCCCATCCAAATAACACCCTACCTAACCTTCAAATTACGCTGGCGTGTAACTTGGTCATATGACTCGTGACAATCATAGCCATATATGTAGTACATATATATATATAGTATAGTACATACTATGAATTCATTAACATTTCTGGTCTCGCGGTAAATGGTGGCGAGGCCAACACCACTACTGAGTAACTTTGTTCAACTATCCATGAATGTATTATGCACGAAGAGGCAAAGTTTTGTATAAAAAACATTTGATGAACATTTTTTACATGTACCTTCTTTATTGCACTTCTTGCCATATCCTCGGCCTGTCAGTTGACCAGTGTACAAACTCTGTTCCAACCAAGTCCTCCTTTTGTCGCAGTTTTTGCATCGAAAAGTGCTGTTCATTAATCCCTTTGCATTTTAAATTACATTGCGTTCCTACCACATTACTCAACAACTGTACAACAGTAGAAACAGGCAGTCATAGACTGCGTTTTACCTAATGTGCTGCTTTTGCGAACGTCTTAACAGGAAACAGAGCGGTTAAACGTCTGCGCATTTTTTATTGTTGTAGTGGCTGGGTAACGTGCTTCCAGGCTCTCAGAACCAAGTTGTCTCACAAAAATTACAATAACCACACAAGCCAGTAAGTCACGGTGTTTTAGAAAGTATAGTTTTTTGGGAAAGCTCAAACAAGAATGGTAAATCAACGGAATACTCGTACTCGAATAAGCTTCGTGTTCGGAAAGCCTCGAGTTTTGCTTCACCCTACTTTTGTTTCCTCTTTCAGGTTACTATGAACTTTTAAATTTTCTTTTGCTTATTTTGCGAGACAGCAATTGTTCCACAAGTATTCCTTAAAAACACTTCTTGAGAAAATGGTGCGAGGGCGCCCCAAACTGATCCCCTCGCGCATGCCCAACGTTTGACCGCTGTGTTCTTCACAGATAGGCTCAATTATCACCCGCTGTTCAGGAAATGAGCCCGCGCTCCTTGCTCGGTAATCTAGTTAGTTCCCCAAACTGAGACCATGACTCAGGCTTTCCTTGTCGGGATCAGTTACGCAGATGACCCTGAAAGAGAAAAATTAATTATGCCCCATGTAAAAGTACTCAATTAATTCATAAAACACTTTCCGCATGTTTATTTTACAAGATTAGAGGCTTTCAGCTTAGTTTTTGAAGTAAGTGGTGAAAGCCGTGCTGCATGGACGTGCAAATACTTCTGTAACCCTCTTCAGCACGTGTACTCTGTTGGGTCACGTCGATAACATCAAATTCACCAGTGAAACCTTTCCCGTCTGAAACGAAAACGAAGATCACAAGGAACTAAAGCAACGACACAGAATTAGTTCTTCAAGAAGATTTAAGTGAAAGGAACTTTCATCAAAACTTTCCCTAATTCAAAGACTGCGTTAAAGATCAGAGGTATTTCCTTAATCAGGGTAAGGATATGACGTGGCTATTCTATATATTTCTAGCCTTCTCCATTGGTAGGCAGCCAAAGTTATAGAAGAGGTTGCAATTAACCTCGACCGGGAGGCGCCCTTTTGCAGTAGACTACAATGAGTGGCAAAAATAGTTGCACGTCGCTCCTTATTTGGTAGTCAAAAACCTTCCACTCAATGTAATACAACCTGAGAAATCTTATCATTCATTCTATTAATAGGTTACCTGAAAGACCCCAGTTTTCCTCCAAACAATAATGCCTGAAATTAGTCAGAATTTTGTTAACATCAGGCAACACTGAAATGGGGGAAGGGGAAGATAAATGAAAGTTGCAGTGGAAAAAATCACAAAGCAGTAGAGCGTGCCAAGACTTTTACCGCTCATCGTAACTCGAGGTCAAAACACGGTTTCTGATAAATCGTCAACCTGACGTGCTATAAATTTTCAAATCAAATTTTAACCTCACATCATGTATATTTGAAATTTCAAAGTTTTTTAAATGAATTAGAGGGGGCCACGTTTCAAAAGCGTATTTTTTTTAAAATCCTCGGAAGTAGTTGCTTACTAGAAGTTCCTGTTTTCTTCAAGATGTGGTAAAACAGTGTGAACAATTGTGGCAATGCAAGCCACAAACAATTGTCCTTATTTAGTGCTTTATAAAACCACCAGACAAAAGGCTAGCCTAAAGTTACGACTTCCTCGCTATTAGCGAGTCACGGAACCGACATAAAATCATCCAGTAAGTATATACTGACATTATTTTACTAAACTAATTGATAAACCTTCGACGTCGTTACATTCCTCGACTGGCAACATTATAAAGACAAAATTTAGTTTGGAACTAGATATGAGGATGTCAAGAATGTGTGTACTTCGAAATTATTGGCTTAAGGCTTTGCTCAATCGAAGCTCTGCTTTCTTCTTTGAGGCGGCAGAATCTCTCTTTGAGGCCTCGGGGAGGTATGGTGGGGGTGGGGACGAGGAAAAAAGACCGACCTAAATATAGCGTTAATCCGCAGCTCAGGCATAAGCATTTTTTGTTTCACACAAGTATTTTAGGACCAAAGTCCTAAAATGTGGATCTCATCCACTCGTTCGTCAAGTCTTTTTAATTTTAAGACGAAATTGTAAGAGTTTTTACCTAAATAATCACTGAATTTGCCAAACCGCACATTCGCAGTTATATTGTTGTACACACATTGTTGTAAGTGAGGTGACCTCTTCCATAAGCCCGGTGTCTTCTTGTGGTCTCCTCGCCCTCTTTTTATAATGCTGTAGATTAATTTTTTATTTGTTATTATTGAAATGGAAAATAAAAAATGATGACTATTTTTTGGCGCACGTTTTGTATCTTACTCAAACTCAGAAGGATCTAAGTCGCGGTATCGAGCGAACGGAAAATTTTTTGGTACTAGGTACGAGGAAAGCCTTTAATAAATGTTTTCATTGCCTACACACCTCCAGCAACTTCCTCTTTGTGGTTTATGATACTTGTGATCCAATGGAAACCGAGCAAGAAAAACAAATGATGAATTGAGCTTTTTCTGCTCTCTTGAAATAGAAGGGAAGTCGGGCTTAATCAAGATTGACCTTGACCGGTTGAAACACAATTGATAGGAATCTCCTGTTTTGTGTTCGTACAGACTTTGCCATCCAGCACGTCGTGTAGCCTTCTTAATAAAGAGGGCAAAACAGTAAGTAAACCAGCTAAAGAAGAACTGACTACGGATCAGGTTTGAACGTATTTTAAAGGAAATCCCGCACATTAGCATCTTAGCTCCAGCATACGCAGTTTTAAGTCGCTAAGAAGAATGCAGATTACTGTTCTCAAGCACACTCTGATGTTAATTCTCTCTATGTCTCGCCCTGCACTATTGAAATGGCTTACTTCGTTAATGAAGTGTAATATTCTAGACCATTCTGCGTTGCCTTGATGACACAAATTGCCTAACAATCCTCAATCCTTTTTTCCTGCTTTAACGTGGGCGGCTAGCAGAAGCCTGTTGAAAGAAAAACAATTCAAAGAAATTGGATGCTTCGATTGAGTTTTTCCACAGTACAAAATTTTTCCTAAATTTACCGAGGGTTCTTCTGCGCTCTTTGTAGTCATTAGACTAAAGCTTTTAGGTCTGCAGCGCCAATTTGGCGCGAATCGGCTTGAAATTGCCATGTATTACAACGTTAATGATGAAAATAAAATCCATGAAAGACTAAACCTATTACACCAATGAATCGAGATGAGTCTCAAAATTTAATTAGTTAATACTACCTCCTGCTTTTGTCGTGATTTTTGAACTGGATACTTTGACTAAAACGAAATTGTTTAGCTTTTTAATGATAAGTTATGTTCAAAGGACTAACAAGAACCAGGACTGTAAAATAACATTAATAAAGGGGGTAAGTTTCCAAAGAAACTGTGGTGCTGCGTCGGTGGGAGATTATAACAGGGTAGTTTAGTATTATCAACTCAGTTGATGACGTTAATTGGCCTCCACAGGGAGTTTCAAAGCTGACGTTTCGAGCGTTAGCCCTTCATGGTCAGAGCGAATGACGAAGGACTAACGCTCGAAACGTTATCTTTAAACCTTTTTCCGGTGGCCAATTTACCTTATCAACTCAGTTAATAATACCAAATTACCCTGTTAAAGAACATCCTAAATAGATGAGTTTTATAATGCGTCAAAGCTTGGACAAAAATTGAATAGACAATAAGACTTTTATCCCGGATGCAGGAGAGAAAACAAGTTTTGAATTCTGAGTTAAAACCAGACAACGTCGTATCGGGTTTACAATATATCCAAACTGTTTTTATCCTTTTTTATCCTTTTTCTTCTCCACAAAGAAGCTCCTTTAAAACCTGAGATTACTTTCTGGAGTTTTCTTCGTATCAACGTGTTCCTTCATCTATATTCATTTTAATATTTACTTTAAAAAATTTGATAATTTAGTCTTCTAGATGTGGTAAAATCAAAACTCGAGGCTATCAGCGTGGGACAACCCAGTAATACGTATACATGTATATCTAGCTTACATTTAATTTTGATCTAATTTCTTTGATCTCTCCGGGAGGGATTTTGGTTTTAAATTTGCTGGCATTTTTTCCTTTATTAGTCAGTGAGCTAGTCTCATAAGCGAAGCCATGCAGAGTCTTATTAAAGGGATTTAAAAACAATCGAGAGTCGACATTTGACAAAAATTAGTTTTGGCATCGGTCCACTAACACCGAAACCTCCTGAACCTGCTTTACCAAGAAAAGTCAAGCACCTCTTTAAGCGTTGAAATTTCCAGATGCCACCAAACGTTTCACTGCATGAATTATTCCACACCTTGTTATTCGACCTCTTGTCCGAAACAAGAAGACAAAATAGAATTCTGACTTCAAAATTGAAGAGAACATGGGTCGTGGGTACTTTTAAAGTGAGAAAAGTTTTAAAATGAACATTGCTAAGTTTTCGCTCCTGTCCTACCTTGAGACATCAACACGACACATCTTATTAAAGCAAATACAATACATACCAAAGTTGAGGCTAGTTACTTCTTGCTTGCGGTAAGAATCTTTTCGAGCCTCTTTCTTTTCTTTCTTTCCTTTTTCAATGTTCAATATATACCTTACATTTTTTCAAAGGGTCTAATAATATCCTCCAGGGCGATGAAAATCAGCCGGAAATAAGACCCGCTAAGCGGCCGGAAACGGAAGGGGGTTCAAGCAGATGATCTTGGATGTAAATCAAATCCCTCACACTGCAGATCAGTCCTGTAGCTTGACTCGGCTGTAATAGCTGCCAAAGTATTGAGACCCAAGCAAATTCCTGTAAAGCGAATATAAAGGAAGACAGGATTATTGGCGAAGGGTTAAACTACTAACAGCAGCCACGGGTACGAAACCCTACGACTTGAAGCGCTTTAGGACAGTGAAGACGGAGAGGTAAGTTGTCGACATTTAATCTGGGGATTGCATTCATGGCTTTTTTTCACGTAAGTATAATAGAATACTTCGTAAACTCATCAGAACACCGTAGGAAACACGACGAACTTCTTCAGACTGCCTGCGACAAGCTATATTGTTCCATTCATGAACTGAGACAATGGAATGGAAGCATTTTGACAACTTGACGATGAGGTTATTGTTCATGCAATATTTGTTATCAATGCAAATGCGAACAAGGAATTTTGCTTTTGTAAACGGCCGATTTCTGTTTTTGACATTATGGTTGACTTCCGATTGTTTTCATCAAAGCTTTCCACCGTGTTTTTGACTAAGCTGTTAGTGCGCAATGTTCGATTTATTAGTTTTTATATAACAAAGATCATCTGCTCGTGATTTTGTGTTAATTGTTGGAGCTATAATTAGCCTCATTTCAATCACTGTTCATCTACAAAATGTCATTTTTATTGTGAAACTGGACATGCTTAGAGTCTTGGCAGAATGATCCGACGAAGTTTTTTCAGTTTTTCATAAACAACTGAGCACGTTCGGCAAATAATGACAACACAATATACATACCAATGCGTTTCTTTTCATCATCGTGTTATATTTGTTGATGGAAAACAAAAATAGGCACATCTGTTCAAGAATTTGTCCCCGTATCACTTCGCACATAGTCAACTACTTGAGAGCAATAACTAAACAGGAGGCTAAGGTCACGCTAAATGTCACGTATGGCACTAAAAATGTCACGCAAGCGTCCCGCGCGACTCTCCAAAAATTAATACTGAGTACTTTAGGTGCTCCTCAACTCTCTTCTAAAATCCAATTTTCACCTATTTATTTGATAAACTAAGTGCCTGTCAGTTGTAGAGGTAAGTGGTGAAAGCATCAACTGGCCATGCGCACATGCGAATACCTCAGTAACCCTTCTCAACACGTGTACTCTGTTGGGTCACGTCGATGGCATCAAATGCACCAGTGAATTTTTTCCCGCCTTTTCTGTAATAGGAAAACAAAAATCGAAAAGGAAATCATTCAAAGCAGTTACAAAAACAATTTAAAAAAATCAAGTTATTTGGATTCACAAAACGTGCTCGAGTAACGGAACAACTTGCTAGCTTGAATTCCGGTCGGATTTGTCATACAATCCTTGCGGTGGTGAATCGGCAAACTGAACACCGCTGAATGTCTTACATAGCATACGATGAAATAGTTGAAGAAATTCACACGACTTCTGCTTTACGGACGTAAAGGTTTATCGAATTGAACCTTGTTTACTAGCGTCTCTTTCAACGCTAGAGGAGGCGAAAAACAAACTTGAGAACTTGATTTAGAAAAAAAACTGCCCGTAACCTAAATCCATTTTTTATAAATCGGACGATAAAAGAACATATCTTCATAATATATTCCTTCATTAGGATGATTTAAATGTGGGAATTTGGTCTTTAAGAAGAAAAGGGTTGGCGCAATACTCGACCCGAAATACACCCAAATGAACACTGTATCTGGTTTCTCTGATAATTGAATCGTTGACATTTTAGAAAAATGTTGAAATAAACGCTGTAAAGAAAGGTAAGGATCCCGAGTTATCAATTCCACATCTGGTTTTCGAATGAGACCATGATGAGTTCAGTACATCAAAATCTAACTTTTTCCAGCCTAGTTCACTCACGGCCAGAAGTGAATTTGTTAGTGGAAATTGTAAGTTCTAGATGTAAAAACGACACTGTTAAAAGTCATCTTTTTAAACACTTTCCTATGGAAAATGTGCAGGAAGATAACAACCATTTTTGTCACTGAGCTTGTGTCGCTTCAAATGAAATGTTTTGATTTAACCAATGGGCGTACCATTTAAAACTTCACATTACTAACTTCTTTTTCTGAACACAGCATTTATTTTATAAATCGCAAGCACTTGACCGAACAATTAAAGAAAGGGGTGCGAGGACCGTCGTAAGAGGACCATCATGTTTCATCAGAACTGCTATTGTCAATAAAAGGCTATTCAAGCGTTGAAAGTCCTAATTGAATCGTTCTCAGCTTTTTTCTTTTGTAGAAGAAACCGCGTTTCGGAAGCTGCTAGTTGGGGGTTGAATTACCGCACTCGGAAGTCGCTACGTCGACGCGAGTTGTTTTCAAAAAGTTGAAATACTGCAAGTAATGTAAAAATTCTGGCTATCCAAGTCGAAAATACATTTCATGTTTTAGTTCTGGATAGCAGCGGCCTAATGAAAGGCGGGCACAATTGAGAAGCGTACCGCAGTAACTAAGTTTAAGAACTGAACCATATAATTTGAGAGGATGTAATTTCTTGTTGTTTAAAGCACGTTTTTAAGATCCCCGACGCTGCAAATGTATGTATTTTCTATGTTTTATTAATTTTTTGTCTTAGACTGGCAATATTTACAGACCAAATATAACTAAGGGATTTTTTTTTTGTTCTTTGACATGGCGACTCAAAAGTCAAGGGGGATGCGAATGGCTTTTTTCGATTCGGAGCCTTGGTTCGTCCTGAGCAGCGGTGATAAGAAAAGGTTTGCACATAGAAACGTGAAAGATAACGTGAGCGGTGAAGCGAAAGTGGCACGTGATGTCAACAGTTAGTCAAATTAGTGAAAAATCGCGTAATATCTGAAATTGCCTCACGCTTTGACCGAAATGGTTAAAAAATAGCTTCCGACTCACCAGTCGCACCTCATCAGTATTTCAGCAACCGGCTCTGCGTCAAGTTGGAAAAGGAATCTACTTTGTTTGCATCGTTTGTATTGCGTAACAAGACTAAGTGATTTGCAGAAGTAGATCACAATCGCCCCTCAGATAACACCGTTTTTTAAAGTGACGATCAACGTAAATATGAATCAAGCGATTGTTGAACGAAACTAATCAATCCTCGAAGTCTTGTGAAGGAAAAAGCGTATCATTTGACCAATTCCATCCGAGGCCAATCTTTCATGACCATATTCCTTGCCAATGTTTAGGATCGTTTTGTGTCTTTAGCCAGTCGTGAGTGTTTTGAAATGAGTTTAAGCTTAGTTTCATATTACTGATTTTGCTTTTCAATTACTTGTACGAAAAGGAAAAATATATTTTGTAGGTCATCTGATGCGACCAATTGTCACAGGCAAATTTCATGGGCACGTGTTTTTATTATCTGCTTTTTCAACTAGGAGAATTTCAGATCGCCAACTTCATCGTTAAACTATTAACTACTGCTGTCACTTTCAAAGCCACATCAGGACTGCTTATCGCCTTTAAGGACAAAGTCCATAAGAGAAAAATTTCCTTATTTTACTATTTTTGCGTAGTTAAGATCTGAAATGAGAGCGAGAGTAATTTTGTACACTCTCAGTTTTCAAACCTTTTCTCGGATTTGTCCTTCGCTGTTGTTAACTGGGAATGTACTGCCAAGGTATGCTTTGATCCTGCTGGTGAAATATCATGTTAAAACTAGCTTAGCTCATCTAAAATTAACCGCATTTCTTAGTATCAAACGATTTGGATCGCTTCCATTTTTGTAACAATTGGTTCCTTTGTTCGCGTCTCGTCTCTTTCAGTTATGCACTTGGAGAGACGAAGTTGTGTATTTTGGCGATAATTTCAGCGTGATTCTACAAATTTCACCGCACGAAATCCCAACTTCAACAGCGCAGTGTAATTGTTGTTTGATAATCTTGTTTTCATACCAAAGACGCTGAGAGATGCATGATATTTAAAGAAAATCAGATTTTGGGTTCACTTAACTTGGATAGAGGTGTTTAAGCTCAACAAAGCATCCGGAATTTAGTACTCTAAATGTCAAAATATTACGTCAACTGAGTGTCTTAAACTTGACGTTCACCCAAATATAGAAGTAACATGCAAAACTCGCGCATTAATGTTTCAGCAAAATGTCAACACTGTTTTTAAAAATTAAAATGTGGTTAAATATGAGCTTAAAATATCATCTTTAGACAACTACAAAATAAGGAATGATCTCTTTCTATTGAAACCAAAGATTCGCTCTCTCGTCGCGGTTTGACCTTTCACCTAAGCATATGTTAGGGGAGGATAGTTTTTCACCCTCGAACAACACCACTTTAATGACCGATCATCGGCGGTTTGGCATTTCCCCAAACTTGGAGAAGCACGGCATTTTCGTCTGAGTTTCAGTCACACAGGTAAGCGCGTTCTGTATCGTTTGAATGCTACATGTTTTTTTTTCTAGATAGTATAGCTGGCCGTCCGTTTGCGTGTTCATGAAGTTAAAAGTAAGCCTACGAAATGTGACATCAAAACATTAGCTCCTTTCAAAATATTTATGTTTATGTACGTGTGATGAAACCTATGCTAGCGTGTGCTATCTTTGAACCGAAACAGGAAAAAACATTTTCGTTTGCAATAGAACTGCAGATTATTTTTGGAGGAAGATTGATGTTTTGCCTGAAGAGAGTCCAAGAAATAAGTAACTGATGTAAGCGGCTGCAACAGAACTTTTATGTTTCATTCTCTGATGTTAAAGATTTCTCTGTCTGTTGCTCAGGGCAAGCTTTAGTGTGATCAGTATATATGGCGCCGAACTTTAGCCTGATTTTTTATGCCAAACAGATGTTATCGATCGAAGCGAGAATAAGGCCGTATGTAGAACTTATCTAATCTGAGAGGAAAACTTGAGGAACTATGAGAAAATCGAGAACAATTCGGCGTACTGCTGGTGTCTCTGTGTGTAAGTATCGAGCGCGTTTCACTCCCATTTATGCACAAAGACGTGAATTGAATTTGTTACAATGAAATAACAAAGTTCGAGTCGGGGATAAATGAACAAAAGAAAATGTATCAGGGATGCGAATTCCAGCCATTAACTTTTTTTCTTCCAACAAGTCGGGAAAGGCCTCTTTTTCAGTTACAGGTACAGGTACCCTTGGATAAACTTTTAGAGAGTTAAGGCAACATTGCTATAAATGCTTTATTCATATTAAAACTGTGCAAAGACGTTTTCTGCAAATCAAAAGGAAAACAGT